TTCCGAAAATAGCGGACTTCCATTGTACGGCAAGTATTCCGTTATACGACGAAATTAACAAAATGATATAAATTTATTTAGACAAAGAGAGAGAGAGAGAAAGATAACGCCTGTTCAAAATATATCCAAAACCTTTATATATTCGAAAACCGCCATTGTTATTTGTTTTCATCGCGGCTCTTAAACATTTCGAGTCTCGATTATTTGTTTCAGATACTGGTTGGATCGCGGCGATTTTAAGATGACTCTGAGATACATGAATCTGCTCAAGGGTGCGCCGAGAAGCATCGCCAGAGACTGGATGAACGAGACCAGGATCCTGCTGGAGACGCAGCAGGCGATCAACACCCTACTGGCGTACGCAGGTGCGATCGGTCTCGTATATCTCGGCGCTGGAGATTCGCCCAAGGTCAGTGCACTAAGTTACGTAACCCCTTAAACAAGCGGCGCGATTAGATATGCGCTGAGAAACGCGTGTTTCCGGTGATTAATAGCCGACCTGAGTATCCATCTCACTGTTTCCATCTCTCTCCCTCTTTCTCGACAACGATAGCTCGCTTATTAAACGACATGTTTCCGTATAGCAAATAGCTTCTGCCCATAGTGATCTCCCGATAGCAATTGCAGCCTGAACAAGATTGATTATATTTATTTGTCATCGAGACATTTATTTATTGCGTGCACGTATAGTTGAGCAGAATTTATCTTTTTCAGCCAAAAGTTGATTAGCTATATTTTTTTCTTAAAAACACTTTTTTATTATATGTATATTGATTAATTTATTTGATGCTTCTTTCGACGCTTTTGTTATCTGCATATAAGAGCACCTTGGTTGCTTATTGTAATTTGGAAGCGGATCCGTGAGCGTCCCTTTACGTTCTTTGCGGCGTTGTTCGAATTGTTCCAGCAGAAGTAAAGGCGGACAGAGAACCACAGAAGAGAGGCTGTCCCGAACCACACACACGAGGGAATGTCTATAGAGGAACGGGGCGGGGGTGACAGAGGAGAATAGGGAGAGACAGATGGCACCGACGACGAACTGAAGGGAAACGAGAACGGAAGGATGAACGCGGGGAGAAATCGCTGCCAGCCTTGTATAGTCACAGAAATGTCTTTTCTAGCAATTAAAATATAGGAATATATATATTGTGTGCCGAGAGAGGTAATGCAGACAGTGAAACACTTTTCTTTGCCAGTCCTCGAGGACTCCCATCCTTGTACGGAAATGTACTTTCGCGCGCTTTGAATTTTTCAACGAGATTCAAATCTTATGTATGAAACGTACGCGAAGATTTTAAATACTTGTCGGATATATAGATTTCGAGCGAGCTGTTGAATGGAATACGAACGTTGTAGTGAATACGAAATCACTTATCTGATAATATATTTTGCTTCGATAAATACTTTTTTGCTTGATTATATATATAAGAAGAAACCACTTCCCTTATATTGATTGAGAGAAGAATATAAAGAAAAAGTTTATTTTTATTTTTGCATACCACTATTCCACCCAACAGCTCGAATCGTGTGTGATGAGGGTACAGAAAGTTACCGAATACAGTGTAAATATCGAACACGATCGTACTTCTAAAGAGACGACGGTATAAGAAAGCATTTAAGCGCGTCCCACATTTATTACAACGTGAAAATACAAAGTCCCGGATGTTTTTAAATTATTATTTTCGCGTTTAATCATGCCTGTAACTTTGATAATCACGTTCGATGGCGGCGGGCGTGTTTTGAGCTCTCCTTGTCCTGATCCATCCATCCATCCATCTATCTACCCATCCATCCATCCATCCATCTCGAGAGTACCTTTTACTTTATAACCGGATATTACTCTCCCGCGCACCGAACTCCCGTCGCGAATCACATCGATCGTTCGCGTGCCGTTACCTCGTCTTTCGCCTCTCACACGAAAACCTTGGCGATTTCGCACGGGACGGGGAAGCGTGCTAGGAATCATTGTAAAAATTGGAAATAAAGTTGTTTCCTGACGTAACGAGTGTGTCGTGTTGATTGATCCGCGAGGCAACTTTCCACCGTTTTTAATCCTTCCAAATAGCTAAAACAGATATCGTACTTTTGGAAGAATTCTGTTTAGAACGTTTTAATTCGTTCACAGGGTTGAAAATTGTCACAAACGAAACTTTCAATCTATGTAAATAAATTTAACAAGTGCAACATTTTCGATATATTAATAGCATGTTTTTTCTTTTTCTCTATTAATATCGAATTTCTGTCTTTTACTTCAAAATAGCATTTGTCTTTTCTTTTAAATCGGACGATTACAGCCAAAATTATAAGCGATTAAATTTTCAAAATACGTGTGACATTAATAAATGGATAAGATTGAATAGACGTGAGTCGAGCATTCAGAGAAATATTTTACTTATTATTTTAGAAACAGATTAACGCATTTAGTTTATAAACGGATCCTTCGGATTTTTTCTTAGCGAAGAAAGGCAACGGCATTATTCGTCTGAAGTAGCGAACGATGTAAGAAGGGATCAGTATCGAATCGTTTGCTCTCGTGGACAATGGGGTAAGCTTGAGGAAAGAGCCGTAAATGGCCCCGAAATAACGTCGGAGCCGGTTGCCAGTTTATGGAAACGTCGTTGGCCGCTATTATGTCGCTCGTAATTAGTCGTCTGACGCTCTAAATAGGTCATCGCGTACCCTGTGCAAGTATATTCTCTAGGAAATTCAAAGATGGATCTAAAATATAATGATGAGCAATCTTGTTCGCTGCAACCGTTCGATTTTCGCCGAATAATACTTTTTTTTCTGTTGAGAAAGAGTAAACAATGAATTCATTTTAACTTTTTTTAATTTTTCAGCAACATTGCAATTCCCGTATTGATTCAAACTTAGAAACTCTCATTTGTTTGCTAAATTCTAAATTCTGAATGCGATTTTTTTTTAAATATAATTGTTATGATATTAATGTCAGATAATAATGCAATGTGATAATTTAATTTGATTGCCAGTTTAGATCAAACGTCAGCGAGATCAACGATGACCATTTACATGATAGGTATGTATATATAATACATCTATTTTTTCGTGATAATATATATACTCAATAATCTGTTCATTAAAAATACTCTGATGTAGCTGAAAAACTTTTTGCTACTTGGAATACCGAAAATTTCGCAAAGTTTTTATCGCAAAGTGTTTAACGTCCTCGCAGAGAATGCTGTATTTTGTGATATAAATAATAATTCTTTGGAGGCTTTGGGTTGCGGTAGAGAGGGATCGGTGACCGAATGAGCAAGGATAATTGCGTTAACTAACCAACGACGCGCTAATGGCACTCGTGGAAGAACACAACGGCTTGGAGCTTCGTTAGAGAATGTGACGAAGTGAAACAAGGTAGAAACTCTATGATACGAGGTCGCATGGAATATAGAAGGAGCGTAAAAAAACGTGGTAGTTAATTAATTTGTATATCTAGAATTTATCGGAGATCGCTATCTTTTTTTTTTATTTATGCGCAATTTAAATTTACGAAGAATAATAATAAAAAATGGTGCACGTTAAGGAGGAATAAAAATCTCATGCGCCCTAAAACCACCGTGTGTCGCATATAAGCGTGATTTCCCTTCTCGCTGGGCATTATATGCGAATTTAGAGAGACCCGGTGTGTGCCTTTGAGTCCTCCTATCCCAGAGGGATATAATAGAGCCACCGCGAGCGAACGTATTTTCGTGTAAAACATCGCTTTGCGTTGTTTTGCCGCGGCAAATAAAGATCTTGGAGGGAAGGGGGTCGGGGAGTCGGATAAAATACCGCGCAAAGACGACGAGGGGCCGCGCTAATTGGGAACGTTAATGACACTCGCGGCCGCTTCACTTTAATCTAATAACGGGTAGTCCGCATTGTAAAGGAATAATCATCCCGCTTGTCCCTCGGGCAACGCCAATCTGTCGCGGGGGAAAAAAAGATTTATGCCCAGGCAAAACGACGCGGTCGAATGAACGCTCCTACGGACGTATCATCGCGCGACGCAAAGCGCGGTTCAATTAAACCGTCCGAGATATAAAGACGCAGTGCAGTGTTCTTTACGTTGTAAATTTTTCATTCGGTATGCAGAAAAATCATCGGCAGATTCGTACAATTTCTCTTCCGTGTGTCGCGGCGAACTTGATTCGATAAATGGATTAAAACGCCTCCGGGCACGGCGATTCCGCAACTCGAACCGATGACATTTATTTCGCGAATACAAATACATTTAATTGCCAAACGTATATTTATCCTTTTGTTTTCATTATGTGTCGAATTTGAATTATTGATGAACTATTTCGTCACTAGTGCAGACACGTGGAAATTGAGATTCGAGATGCGGGATCGTGTAATCTCTAAGATTAAGATGAACATTAGGCCGACGTGTATCGGTGCGCTGATACCAATTTCAAATCAGTTTACTCCCCGTCCGCGTACTCATGATAATAGCCACGCTTGTAATGCCACCGCGTCGAATTCGATGCGAGTTTAATCCATGTCGGGCGCTTCCGTGCGTCGACAACAAATGCATTGACATTCATAAATGGTCCTGGTCGGCCGTCGATCCAGTCCGAATTAGGAATTTACCATGTGACCCGTAATGCCAGGCTGCAACGATTGTTTCGGCTTCGACACCGCCGGAAAATGCCAGAGCGCGCATAGAAATCATCGCAGTGACGATGATTTGATGTAAATGATAATACTAAATAATTTACATAAATAGTTTTAATGAAAATTAGTAAATTTTATTCTTTACATAAACGTTAGATTTTATATGCGACGATAACTCATTTATTCAGCGTAAAATTTAGGCAAAATACCGCATACACAAATATTCAGCGCGGGATTTATTTTATAATACATATGTTAAATATATTTTTCGGGGCAATAATAAATCGGTTGATACGCGGCCTTGGTGTTTACGGCATATAGCGCGTTAGTACGCGCTATATCAACATTGTATTATATACAGGGAAGGCCAAATACCTTCGTGTGACAACAATTCGATATAAACAATAGTTTGTTTATGTCGAATTGTTGTCACACGAAGGTATTTGGCCTTCCCTGTATACAATACAATGTTAATATACGCGCTCATTCGCTTATACGCTGCCGTCCGGAGCGGCTCCATATAAGCTCCGTATATCGTCGGATTATACCTTAAGAAATTCCACATTTATTATAATTAGCTATCATAAGTGTGTTGAAACGATCATAATTACGCGATTGAGTGTCGTAATTATGTGCAAAGAAAAAATAGTAAAGAATGAAACGTGAAGTGGAAAATAAGTCTGTGGAAAAAATCTCAAATCGAAATAACAACGACGCAATTTCACGGTGGCACGGCGTTGTATCGAGAGACGCGCGTCATATATCGTCCGAGTAATAATTACTGTAGCGGAAGGATCCGCTAGCGCAGGAGAGGCGTCTCTCGCTGTCGAACGGACCGTCTGGAATTCCTGGATCGAGCTCCAAGGCGAAGCGTCCATTCTGCGGATGCCAAAGTGAACGTACACCGAGTACCAGGGTGAGTACATGAAAGCGCGCGCGCGCCCTTACCCCCTCGACGATCCCTCGAGGGGGTGTATATAGTTTGCGGCAGAGCGAATGCACCGATCCGTAAAGTAATAAAGGAGTCGCGATATGCTGCGGAACACGCTGCGGAAAATGCACACGCGCGCGATCATTCCGGGATATGATCCCGGACGTATAAAAGCACCGCAACGCGACAGCACGGAGGTGTGAAATTTGCGTGGGAAGGGGGGATGCGGAAACGTCGGATTTGCGGAAATCGATGGTACGAGAGATTGATGGAATCTTATCATCGCGCGAGAGCTTAGAGTCTTTTGGGAAACAGAAAGTATATTTTATTTTATTTAACAGCATCTTGACATATTATAATAAAATAAAGAGATAATTAAGAGATATTTTAATCTTTATATATGTACACAAAAGGGTGGAGATTATGTCAAAAATAAGAGTAGAAGTAAAATTTGAAACGTCGAATAAACTCTCTGCCTCTTATCATATTTAAGGTAGAACTTTATGAAAAAAGTTTGAACATTTCATATAACAAATATATATAAATGAAATATATATAATATATTTTTTGGGGAAATATAATTTTTGAGATAAAATAAAAATACTAACATATGATTAAATAAAACTATCTGAGAAAACATATATCAGGTCTACCGGAAAGTTCTGTCCGTTTTTGGAATAAAACAAAATACAAATTTTTATTACCGTCAATAAACTTTATTAAATAATGTAATTGCCATTATTATTAATGATTTCTTGCCAGCGTGAGGGCAATTTGTATATCCCATTTTCGAAAAATGTTTTATCTTTTGATGCGAAAAATTGAACCAGTGCTTGTTTGATATCTTCTTCATTTTTGAATTTTTTGCCCCTCAAAAAATTTTGTAAGGACAAAAACAAGTGATAGTCGGTGGGTGCTAAGTCCGGGGAATATGGTGGATGCGACAGAATTTTCCAGCCTAGTTCTGCAATTTTTTGACGAGTATCCAAAGCAGCATGTGGCCTGGCATTATCATGATGCAGTATGATGTTCTTCCTATTGTACATCGCCGGCCTCTTTTCTTGGACTGCTGTATTTAAATTATCCAGTTGCTGACAATACTTCTCCGAATAATGGCAATTACATTATTTAATAAAGTTTATTGACGGTAATAAAAATTTGTATTTTGTTTTATTCCAAAAACGGACAGAACTTTCCGGTAGACCTAATATATAAAAATTGTCACAGTTTTACGCGTTATTTTAATATCGTTAAATATATATATTCTAAAATTAATCATTGCCTCGCATTAACTACACGCTGTGTCACTAATAAAAATTTATTTCGAAGCATTACGTTCTCTCTTTTTCTCGCACAACGTGTCGTTGCACCTCGCGATAGGAAATCGCGTGTGTCGCCGTCGTTACTTTTACGCGTGATGTGCCTTATTAATCGATATATACACGCTCGAATCC